TTGACACCCAAATCGACAACCTAGCTAACTAATCCAAGCAGGCCTCATACGTTTGAATTAAAAATAAAAAATAGTTTAATTGTCATTATAGTTTATAGTGCTTATTGGAGAATTATATTGTATTGCTTTTCTTTAAGAGCTTATGTTGTAGTGATTAAGTATGTAGATCAATGATATTCTACTTCATTTATATGTTTTTTATGTTTTGTGATATAAACCTATATATCATAGAAAAAATAATTGAACCATGAGATTGTTTGATACTATGCATGTAAGTACTTGTATGGAAACTTAATTCAATTGGTATGAGTATCTTTTTTTTTTTTTTTTGAAGCTAAGATCTTTTGCTTTCATATAATATGACATTAATAATTAGTCCTTTAATCTTGAAGATTTTGCTTTTGATCATTGTACTTGAACACTTTACCACGAAGCACTAAAGCTATGATGTACAAGCTACATCAATTCATATTCCTGAAATACTTTGGAATACTATGCATACAAAATATAATTCTTAATCATTAAAATATTATGAAATCAAATTCATAAGTCAGCAAACATGTTCCTTCATCAATTCAATTGGATTTTGATTATATATGTTATTATTCTATATATCAGCGTCTTTGATGTACACATAGGAAGATTATGCGTTTGCTTTTACTCGCCTGTTTCAGGATGTAGTTTCTGTAATTTTCTGTTTCTTATACGTTCATAGCATCGATTGACCACGACTACATTGTAAATGACAGTTTTCCCTCCCATCTTTTACTTTGATATTAAAAAAGTAATTAATAAAATGACCACGAAAAATTTAATGTAATAAAACAAAATTTCAGAACACAGCATGGATATTCCCGCATGAATCACCACGGAGGAAACCCTATTAACTTTCAAAACTTTATAACACCAAATTGTCATAAGCAGCGATGATGTGAAGGATAGAAGCTTTTATTTTTTCTTATTAATATTTATTAACCCTAAGTTGAAAAACTCTCAGTAAAAATAAAAAGTACATAACAACAAAATTATCCAAAATATGTCACATAAACTAAATAACAGTATACAATCATGGTATTTTAGTGTAACATGTTCAACAAGGATTTCTGTAATTTATAAAATTTAGGAATATTGTTTTGTGCAATACATTCTAACTTCAAGGGTTTTGTAAAATTTACCCTATTTATGTAACTCTGAGCTTGGTGCTTGCTGCATGGTCATGTTGATTGTATGATTACCATTGATACCCATAACGTAGATTTGTTCATTCTATATTTTTCTTCTTTCCAAAATGATCATTAATTCATGAACAGATGTTCCGAGCATCCAGAAAACAACTATAGATTTGAACCATAGTTTGCTTAGCAATTTACTATCCGTAATCAAATCTGCATGTTTATTATATGAGACAAACTTAACATCATGATAATGAAAAAAAAAACTACTGACAACTGACTTTGGTTATGGCAGCCGGATATACAGATCCGTCATCTCGAAAAAGAGGAAGTTTTTGCATCGGACCAATTGCAGTTATGGCTGCTTCAGGTAGGTTTATTACTGGTGAGCCAAACTTGCCGCCAATGGTCCCAATGTTGCTCAATGTTATTGTTCCTCCAGTAACATCATCGGTACTTAGCTTGTTGTTTGATGCCAATTTATGTAATTTAGATATTTCATCTGTAATATAATCAAAGAAAGCATGCATTAATAGAAAGTCATGCATTCCGGTGATAAAGGGAAGAGGGGGAATAGTAAAAGAAATGGGAACACATGTTGTCATGATCTATATCAAAATATAAAGACAAATTCCCTCATTTTAGTGATGTTATCTCTATTTTTTTTTGTTTATAAGCAAGTATCAGGTAACCTTAGTTTTCATAGTAAGAAAGAAAATTTTAAGAAGGAGAGTTACTGGACTCACCTCCCCCAAGTATGGATGAAGCAATTACAATCTCAAAGGTATGATATTTTAGTCAAGCTGTTAAACAGAGATTGTTTTGTTTATTTTATTTTATTTTTGGAAGAAACTTGCATTTTTTATGTATGTGAGATTTTTTTCTAGGTTACGCAATCACAAGAATACAATATTTTTAGTCGTATAGTATTCGATACTGCTCCTACAGTAATTACGTATTTCCTAACTATATTTCTTTTCGTTTTGCTATTTCCTTTAAAGTATTGTTTGAAATTTGTTAGCTTCTAAATTAAAATAGTCTTATATGTACCTTACTGATGCAATTTCATTCTCATATTTTTTTAGGGCCTTACTCTTAGGCTTTTGTCCTTGCCTGACTTTTTGGATGCATCCATTTACAAATTCTTAAAGGTATGAGTTGTAGAAAGGGATCACCTGTTAAGTCCTTTAAAACTGAATCTTATATGATTTAAAACTTTTACTAGATAACCATTACTTGATTAATTTATAAGTCTGTTACTTCTCATGTTGTTTTTTCACTCTTGAGAGAGAACTACATTTAGTCTTTTATTACGGTTAGCCTTTTCTTTTGTATTCTTCCACATTGTATTACCTCTTTAAATAAATGTGCTTATCTATTTTAATTCTTTATTGGCTAATCTCTGAATGACTTTAGAAGACCATAATTACATAACAAAATCACTAAGCAAAATTCTGAATGTGGTAGTACATGTGCCTGAATCTTTATGGTGTAACTCTCCATCTTGAATACTTTCTTCTCTCTCCTCATGTGAACTCCAATGGTCTTATCAAACAAGGCTGAAGGTCACTGAACTTCGTTATTTTGAAATACCTAACAGACATTATTTTAAATGTTGCGATGCTTTTGACATATTATATTTTAACAATATTTTTCTTAACCTGTAAAATTAGTATTCACTTGATTGCAGCTCGCTGTTTGTGTACCTCATAGGAAACAGCTTGGAGGAAAACTTGGAAGCTCTTTGCAATGTGATCTCGGAGTGAATACTCTTGGTGATCTTCTAAATTTCTCTGAAAAAAAGTTATAAGAGCTTTATAGCATTAACACAGGGTTGGTGACTTGGTTTATTTACCATGATTGAAGGATAAGGATATGTTTGTATGACATGTATGTTCAATCTTTCATGGGTTTATTAAGAACTAAGCTCAAATTGGCAAGCTGGAATGACATATGTTTCAACCAATTTTACTTATATACCAAAAGTTAAAGAATTAAGTATTTAGCAAGTAAAGTGTTTAATCATGTGTGTTATCTCCCAGATAGATGAGCAACTTGTGCAGCAGGAGCTATGTTTTTATTCTACTTTGATATTATGTTGCATATTTACATAACATTTTGCATCCGTTCACAAGTCTTTTATTCACAGAAATTGTACAATGTCATAACCAACATCATTTAAGATATTGCACAATAAAATGATTTAGTACATGTACTTGTCAGTTTGCTTCCATTATTGGTTTTGACATACATGTATGGAAGATAAGGCCTGGTGAAATTTAAGATAAAAAATATTAACTTGTAACAGTAAAAAACCCAAGATAATCCAAGAGTATGATTCAAGGAAAACCATCCCAAATCAAAAAATTGTCGTCAAATAAAAAAACTTGTACTAACGTATAATTGATCACTAAATATAATTTTTTTTGTTAAAACATTGTGAATTTTTAGCATCTATTCATATGATGGCTATATAGTTTACATTCAATAGATTAAAACCACATCTATCCCTAAATAAAATTATATTTAAAAATAATATTATAAATTTTACCACATGCACTGCACGTGCATTCAACCTAGTGTGTATATATATATAGTGCATTTCACCTGCGGAATGATGCGTACGCATTTAGAGAGGAGAAAGTTGTTTTTGCAAAAAATCCTCCGCTTGCTCTCTCTCTCATCCTCCGCTCATTTATTGTGTAGAAATCACATTCTCTCTCTCTCTCACTTCATTAAAAATCTCCAAATTAAAATCCCTGCCTCTCCCCTAAAAGCCGATCTCAAATCCCTACATCTCTCTTGCTCTCGCCGCCGATCCGACCAAGACCCGATGAAGTCTCGTTGATCCCATTCTCTCTCTCACTCCGATCGCAGCCGACCCGACGAAGCCTCGCTGATTTCTACAGTCGCCGACGACCCGACGACCTCTCGTGCTCAACTCCCGCCGACGAACCGACGAAGTGCCCAACTCTCGCCGCCGACGGGATCAGGACTGCTCTATCTCGTCGAAGCCACTGATATAGGGATCCGACGCTGCAGGTTCAGATCTTCTTCCTACAACATTTATGGACAATTATACTCGTTAGAGTGTAAAATCAAACATTTTAATTGATTGCATAATGATAATTACACTCTGAAAGTTGTAGGAATTATAGGAATTTATGTAGAAATTATAGGAATTTATGTAGAAAACAAGGAAATTTTATCAACTTTTTCCGAAATCAAGGGGAAAATATTTCAGCACAAGTCCAAAATTATTTTATCTCAATACCCAAAAATATAATCTATGCAATTAGGATCTGTTATTGATGCAAAAACAAAATGCACTGGAAGTATTTGATAACATTTCTGTTTTTTGCTGCAGCAAGTCAAATTTTGATAACATGTCAAAAATTTGATAACATTTCTGTTTCTGCTGAGCAGTTATTTTTTGCTGCAGCAACTCAAAATAATATTTGATAACATGTCAGAAATTTGATAACATTTCTGTTTCTGCTGAGCAGTTATTTTTTTGTTGCAGCAACTCAAAATAATATTTGATAACATGTCAAAAATTTGATAACATTTTTGTTTCTGCTGAGCAATTATTTTTTGCTGCAGCAACTCAAAATAATATTTGATAACATTTAACTTCATATTTGATATGAATTATTAATTTGGTAACATTTGGTTCGAAATTTGATATTATATGCATTTTATATAGGTCAATTACAATTTTTTTGAGAAATGGAAAACTTGAATGACGATAGCTCGATATATACTCCTCAAGTATCAGATGAGTTGTGACCACAAAAGGGGCAAGAATTTGACACAATTGATGATGTTATGACATTCTATAATGCTTATGCAAAAGTAGCTGGGTTTAGTGTAAGGGCTTGGACTACTCAGAAAGAGCCGGGAAGTGGTGAAATAAGAAGGAAGGAGTATGTTTGTTTTAAACAAGGAAAATCTTCAAGAATCGCGGATGTTGAAAATAAAAGACGTCGAGGAAGCTTAGCAGAGGATTGTCATGCCAAAATTGCAGTTTTAAAATCAAACTCCGAAAAATACATTGTTACTGTTTTTAATGAGGAGCACAGCCACCCTCTATCAACACCATCAAAGGTTCATCTTTTAAGGTCCCACCGTAGCGTTTCAGCCGCAACAAAGTCTTTAAGTAAACAGTTCTCTATGGTGAATATACCTCAGCATCAACAATTTAGTTTTCTTGGAGTACAATCTGGAGGCATAGAAAATATTGGGTGCACTCAAAGAGATTTGTATAATCATGAAAGGGATATACGTGCTGATTTGAAAGGGCATGATGGTGAAATGTTTTATGAGTATTTAAAATTGGAACAAGGAAAGAATCCCTCGTTTACTTTTCAAATTGAGGCCGATGAGGAACAAAAGATTACTCGTTGTTTTTGGTCCGATGCAACTTCAAGGCGGGCTTACAATTTTTTCGGTGATGTTGTAATCTTTGATACCACTTATAACACTAATCGATATGGCCTAATATTTGCACCAATAATGGGGGTTAACAATCATGGTCAGACAATCCTTTTTGCTTGTGGATTTTTAAATCATGAGAGCGTTGATGATTTTGTATGGTTATTTAATCAGTTTTTGGCAAGTATGCCTGGTGGTGCCCCGAAGATGATTATTACCGATCAAGATCCAGCTATGACTAAGGCATTCCCTCTTGTTCTTCCAAATACTTTTCACAGGTAATATAGTTTGTATACATTGTCTTTCTTCCAAATAATTTATATACATTGTCTTTTTTTAACACTTTAGAAATTTTTTTTGACAGGTATTGTAGTTGGCATATATTAATGAAGTTTTCTGAGAAAATTGATGCAGTGAAGTATAGTATTTATAAAAGTGAGTTCTCGGCTCATGAATGACAGTCTTCACTACAAATTTTCTTCCCATTGAAAACCTCAGGGGGAATCTTACGTCAATCTTGCGAACCTCATGGGATTTTCTGTAAATTATTCCTAAATATAAGATTATCACCTCTCCTAATTTGTGTAGATTGTGACCTCCATTACATGTCAAAAAAATCTCAACTGATTCTAAATTATTCAGGAAACTATGTATGCTATTACAAGTACAACACATCAAGAACACATAATTTCATTCCAACACAAAGGTTAAAAGTACAAAGTGTTACATCACATAATTTCTTTCATGGCCAAACAAAAAGACAACAAAAAAGCTATAACAGTTAGCCATTTCCACAACACCTTTTCACGTACAACAACCAAGTCACGCGCCACTGGTGGGGTCGGGTCGAGTGGTATTTGTTCAACTGATGAAATCTTGCACCATCCCAAAAACGAGCCGCACTTTTGCCTTTTACACGAGTAGTAAATTCTACCACGGTTATTGTTCTTGTTCGACTTCGTTATCTTCACATCCGCTATTTCACCACACTCGCATTGTTTCAATATGAATCTAATATCCACTTCAACACATGAGTTACTTTCCACAGTTGAGGATGAAGCCATTTCAATCTGCCAAATTTGAACAATTTAACATGAACATGTGCTGGAAAGAGACATAGGCAAAATTTATAATTCAAGTTGTTCTGTTAGCTACTTGTAAATGTCTTTAGTACATTTCTGGTCAATTATACTCGTTAGAGTGTAAAATCAAACATTTTAATTGATTGCATAATGATAATCTTCTTCCTACAACTTTCAGAGTGTTCATTTATGCATATGATTTTATGCAGTAATCCTTTCATTATTCTCTAAACAAATGATTCTGATCTAAGCAAGTTCTATTTTTCTGTCAATGTATTAACCATGCAATTTGTTTTCCTTTTTAATTACGCATATGTCAGGCTTTGCTCCGATAACTATAAGTAGCCAATTTGTAGTTAGAGTATCTTAAATAGCTTTCTTTTCCTAAATTAATTGATGAAGACTAGTATGCATTCTAGATGGAAGAATGGACTTCAAAGAAGTCAGTCTTCATCACCCAGGTCTCATTCATTCAACCATGGTTTGCTAGAGATTTGACTTTAGTCATTGTTGTGGGAATATCCTCTGGGATTGTTGTTAAACACAATGGATAACAGTTTTTGTAATGTATGCTCAAGGCACTCGTTAGAAAAACTCAGAAATTCATGAAGTTATTTTAGCACCTTAACAAGGTGCAATTTTCAAGTATTAGAACTTCTAAAAAATAGCAAAATATGAGTTCAAAAATATGTAATAAGAAACGTTGTTTTGACTGGCTCATATTGAGATATTCTAAAATCCAATCGAACTGAAATTATTTAAAATCGAATTGATCTTTTAGAAAATTTTACAGCTGAACAGGAACCGCAAAAATTCGTTAAGCTGAACATTAGTTTAATCGATTCAAACCGATAATACTTCCAGTGAATTTTGTTTTTGCATCAATAACAGATCCTAATTGCAGAGATTATATTTTTGGGTATTGAGATAAAATAATGTTGTAGGAAGAAGATCTGAACCTGCAGCGTCGGATCCCTATACCAGTGGCTTCGACGATATAGAGCAGTCCTGATCCCATTGGCGGCAAGAGTTGGGCACTTCGTCGGTTCGTCGGCGGGAGTTGAGCACGAGAGGTCGTCGGGTCGTCGGCGACTGCACTTCGTCGGTTCGTCGGCGGGAGTTGAGCACGAGAGGTCGTCGGGTCGTCGGCGACTGTAGAAATCAGCGAGGCTTCGTCAGGTCGGCTACAGTCGGAGTGAGAGAGAGAATGGGATCAGCGAGACTTCATCGGATCTTGGTCGGGTCGGTGGCGAGAGCAAGAGAGATGTAGGGATTTGAGATCGGCTTTTGGGGGAGAGGCAGAGATTTTAATTTGGGGATTTTTAATGAAGTGAAAGAGAGAGAATGAGATTTCTACACAATAAATGAGCGGAGGATGAGAGAGAGAGAGAGAGAGAGTAAGCGGAGGATTTTTTGCAAAAACAACCTTCTCCTCTCTAAATGCGTACGCCATCATTCCGCAGGTGAAATGCACTGTGTGTGTATATATATATATATATATATATATATAGGGAGAGGTTCTAATAAAAATCTCATTAGCCTAAAAACTAAAAACCTCCTTCATCCAATGGCTAGGATTCAGTCAAACAGTCAACAGACACATGTATTAATTACTTCATTAAATACATGCATTAATTACATCAACACAGTGAATCCAGATTCACTGCAGTGAATCCAGATTCACTGCAATGATTCGAGATACGTTAAGGTAGTGAATCTGGATTCACTGCGTTGAGGTAATTAATGGGGTAATTAATGCATGTGTCTGTTGACTGTTTGACTGAATCCCAACCATTGGATTCATCTAGATCCAATGGATGAAGGAGGTTTTTAGTTTTTAGGCTAAGGAGGTTAAGTTTTCAAAAATCAAACTCAAAATATAACCTATTGCTCATCCATCACTCGTTGATCCCAAATCCTTGCTCTTTGATAATCTTCTCTATAAATAGCTTTTGAGCATTTTTTTTGTTTTGATGATCAACCTCTTAGCATTTGATTGATGATCATACAAATAATCAAAAACTTTGTCCAATGTGTCTTCAGGAAACTCAGTCTCATGCGCAAATAAAGCATTCGCCGTGCTCTCACTTCAATGTAATACGTGTTGATGTTGAATTAAGTAGGACATTGACTCAATGAAACCGCGCATGAGAGAATCATCCTCTTTAGCCTTGCTAGTCTTGCTACTATTCTTCTTAGGATTTGATATATCAATTGATGTAGAAGCTACCCCACTTGAATTCTTCGCAATATGAGCCCGAGTGTTGTTGTTTTGCCCATATCTCATGCTCAAGATGTGAGCTAGAGGACAAATCAACTTCATTATCACTAAGATCTATATGATCCTCATCAACTATAACATGTTACCTAGAGCCAAGCTTTTTAGTCATATCTCTAGTGATATCACTCTTTGCTTGGTCATCTCCCACAATATAACACAAGTTCTCATAGTGTGTGAGAGGAGTGTTCAAATAGTCCTTCAACCTAGAGCTATTGTATTTTATGTCCTCGTAAATGAAATAATGCAAAATTAATATTTTCATAACTAAATATTCAAAGTTTGCTTATTTAACAAAAAATTTATCTGTGTCCACCTATCAAAACAATCTGGATACATGATGATAATCTTAGTCTGTGATCATAACCAGCCTCACTCATGTTCATGATAGTGTGCATATCAAAAAATTTACCCTTCAAGCACTTGACATGGTTCATGACATTCTCCTTTGTGATTCAATAACACACTTCTTGTTGACCTCCTCTGTAGCTTTTCGATATGCGAGCACCTTGAAGTTTTTGTCAACTTTGAGACCATCTTTCACCATCTAAGCAAAAAAAGGGATTAACACATCATCATGTTCAGCACACCTTAGCATTAGCCACACCCCTCGTATTTTCTTTCTTGTTTAAGACATTTGGTTGCATTTTTCTTTTAGCAAATGTCCGCTTCTTTCTTTTGCTTGGTGAGGTAGCTTATCTCCAATATCGGTTGCAATTGGTCGCTTCAAAGAATGAGTCTCACTTGAGTGGGTACCGGGGGAAGTGTGGATAAGTGAGTGGCCATTGTAAAACATATTCACATATGACATAGGTTGTTGAGTCATAAATGAATAGTTAATATCATAAGGATTGTAAGATGAATAAGAAGTAGAGAAATGTATTAGGTAGGAGGGAAGGATAATGTAGTGGGTGGTAGAGGGAAAGATATTGTAGTGGGTGGTGGAGGAGCAGGGAAGTATGGATAAGTTGGTATTCTAGGTGAAGGAGTATCCTTGCATTTATCATTGTCATCAAAGTCTGCCATGCCTGGTTGTTATAAATAAAAACGTACAAATTAAAAAGTTAAACCTCATGTAAGTACAATAATAGAATGAAAATAATGATAATATAATTCATTATGATAAAGCATGTTCTATCTTACATGAAGATAATAGACAATATATCAACGAGTACAATAATGCATGGAAAATATAGCTTAAATTACATCCCAATCTCGGTTGTGTCCCCACCATGATATTTATTACAATAATTTTCTCACATTTTAATTGCAATTTGATCCCTCTTTGCTTTCCATTCATTTCTTGAATCTCTTTCTTCTCTTTGAGTCATAGTTTGAGTAAAGTCAACAACACCATCTTTACCTTCATTAGCTATTTCATCACCAGTAGGCTGTCTAAAAATCACAATAGATAGTTGATCCCCATCAAACACCGATGATGGAAGTTACAATCTGACGACTTCCAGAAGGTTACAATTTGAAGACTTTCACGTAGATCGCTAAAGGTTACAATCTGACGACCTTCACGACAACTGATGGAAGCTCTAATCAAACAACCTTTATAATCAACATCGGGAGTTACAATCTGACGACTCTCATGTATCAGAGAGCTAAAGCAAAGATTACAAAATGACGATCTTTGCAACGCTTCGACAGAAAGAGACTACAAATCGACGGTCTCTTCAAATCAAACTGTGGAAGTCCTCCCCGCACACCAGCATCAAGACGCATCGCGTTCATAGCCACGAACGCAGCTCCTGCAAACGCAGCTCCAAAAGCTGCAAACACAGCTCAGATTCGGCCGCCAACGCAGCTCATGTTCGGCCACAAACGCAGCTCCAAAAACTACAAACGCAGTTCATGTTCGGCCACAAACGCAGTCTCCGAAAGCTATCAACGCAGCTTTCACCTGCCGACAAACGCAGCTCCCAAGCTGTCAAACGCAGCTTTCAACAAGATGCCAACGCAGCTTCCAAATTGCTGCGTCTGAGCTTCCAAACACTGCGTTTGAACGCAGACTTGTTCAAACACAAGCTGAACGGTTTCAAAACCGTTTCCCACGATCTGAGGGGATCACAACTCCACTCAGGAGTGATTT